GTTGGGTAATTTTCCGAAAAATTTAAAATAGTGGTAATTTTTCAGGAAAAAATGGAAAAATATAATTCGAAGACGCATTATTATGTTTTACTTTGAGATATATGTTTTAATGTTAATTGCTATAAAGAAGAAACGCTGGTAAATGTAATTTTCTATAACCTGCTTTACTTATTTTCACAAATTCTCATTATAGAGGTATCTTTAACATTTTCAGAAAAATATTTTTTTTTTCAAAATGGAAAATTTACCAACACTAGGCGCAGTGGCAGTGCCCCTAAGATCTTTACGAGTTAAAGCTCTCCGTTACGGATAGGCGTGTCGCATACCACTAAAAAAAAAAAGAAAACGTACTTGATCCCTATACTTTTTTAATGTGTATAAACAGAACAATAAAAATAATGGGATCTTTTGGATTACGCTCACGCAAAAAAATTTGTTCGATCAGTATCGTCATTGAGAGAGTTCAATGTCCGGATCAATGGAGGCTTTATTAACCAACTTCAAAAAAGGAGAAGGTCCTCAATTCGAATGTATGCTTTTTTGTGTGTATGTTACACGATAACTTCGGTATTTGTGAACCGATTGTCATGACTCTTTTTTTGTTGGAAAGAGGGTATCTCCATAGTGGTCCCCTTTAATTTTGAAGAAAATCATCCGCCTCTAAGGGTGGCTGTTCACGCATGAAGATTAATTTTTATAAATAGCGCCTGAATTTTATTATAAGGAGCAATTATTTTAATGGTTGATTTTGCTTTTCTCCAATTCATGGCGTTTTTCTTTCTCAATATACTTCGAGTAGTGAGATCCGATTTTTATTCTCTTCTGTGTCAAGTCCCCTATAGTGGCGAACAGATGTTATTCCACGTACTTTTGAGGTCGGTGTTTTTAGTACTCTGTGCTGAAATTATTTTGTTCTTCTTATCTGGCAGATGTCCACTCATATCAGGCACGTATTCACTAAGCCCCTCTAAAAAAGTCCGCATAAAACTGTTATTGTTTGATGAATCTAACGCGTATTTGTCATCACGTAGGCAGGCACCGCGTTGTAATTAATATACCGTAGTGCGTCATAGATGACGTTACAGCGAGTAATATAATTAATTATATCACTTAACCTGTCCATGGACAGTAACAAAGTTTGCCGTAAAATTAAACATTAGAATATGATACAGGGTACCCCGTTTCGCTGTATTTTTTTTTAATTTATTATTTTACTTTTAAATTTGCAATTAACAAAACAAAACAATGTCCATAAACCTATACATTTTTTTTTACATTTTTCATACATTGTGCAGTCGTAATCTACACAATATAATAATAAAACCAGTACAGAGTACTAAAAAACCGACCTCAAAAGGCATTCATCCCCTAATTTGCCACCCTTAGAGGTGCAATATTTTCTTCAAATTTAAATGGGACCACATCTGAGGTACCCTTTTTGCAACAAGAAAAGAATTATCAAAATCGGTTCACAAGCTATCGCGTAATATACATACAAAAAAAAGCTGAAGTCGGTAAAAATTTGAAACGTATTAAACATCATTTATTATGAAATATTATTTATCGTTTTGAGATAAGTGTATATCTTTTAATTGTTTCTTACAATATTCCAACCACGGTTTTATTTACGTGTAGAATGCGTGTAGAGAATAAAATTTTACGGTACAATCTTTTAATACTTGCTATAATCTGAGATAATATCATCTTGAATTTCAGTTACAACACCATTGCAGTAGCAATGCGATATTACTATGCTATTACGATTACTTTTTTATATTACTATCGAAATAACTTATTTGACCAGCATTGAGACGGGCATTGGGCCAGTGTGGCGGACTATGGCCTAAACCCTCGCCTGAAAGGAGACCCCGAGCCCAGCAGTGGAACGTACAAAAGGGGTTGATGATGTAGTTGTTTTACCAATATAAGTATTTCAAAGTTCAAGAACTAACTTGAAGTTGTCTAATATTGTTCAAAGCCTTGGCTATAATTGGATTCTAATTATTGTTAGGAATGATATGAACGGTTAGTTTGTAATGCGAAATTCGTGATATACTTTGTTAACACTTCCTATTATGTGTTAGGGACTAGAGTCTACAGTAGAACTCTGCCTGATAGAAAATGGACTGCCGTTCATGTCATTGAAAGCTGCATTGTACAAGCAGGCGGGAAAGTAAGAAAGGGAGAGGATTTTAATGTTTGTCTTTAGTTTCGCGGCATTTCCGCGTTCCCATAAAAAAAATTGAGACTATCTGCTGTTCGCGAAGTGACAAATTATTTTTTTGTAATATCATATAAAACCATAACCCCGTTTTCAGAATATTGAAATTGTTTTTATGATATTTCAGCTATGCGTCGTTAGGGTAAGTTCCGATAAGTCGAAGACGTTAACTAATTTTAACTGTTTTTAAAATTCTCTTTTGTGCTCTATTTATAATGTATTAAAAACGGTTATTTGACCATTTTTCACTTAGTCTTGCGTTGGTTAACGGATGGCAGCGATGCGGCCTATAAAATTCCGGGAAAACGAGACTTTCGACACTATGGGTCGTATTTCAAAACTCTACTCAATGCTCAAGTCAGGATTTGAGCAGACTTGAGTATGATTTCAAGCACTGGAAATACGACTCTAATGGCAAGGACTTGAGTATGATTTTCAGTGCTCACTGCAATACTCAAGTCCTGACTTGAGTATTGAGTAGAGTTCTGGAATACGACTCTAAATCTGAAATAGTTTTTTGCACTATATATTCTTTATTAACTCCGATTATAAAATCAATATTATTTTTATTCTGGAAAATATTTGTAATTTTTATAATGGGCACGTAGGAAACAAATGGCATTTAATGTAGTTTCAGATGGAGAGGACCTAATTTTATTATTATCATTCTTTAATCTCCACAGATTATACTAAGCTCCACGCTACAGTCTTGCCACGTTTATATAACCGGAATAAAAAATGTATGTTTAGTAGTTTTTTAATACTGTTTGATTAAGTGACTTAAGTTTTACAAAGCTTGATATTCCTACCATATTCTTGAGACCGAAATTCCTGAGTTGAAGCCGTATTAGCTACGTCCTTGGTGTTTTGTAGCTTTACAAGAGGTTTTGGCACTCCAGGACCCCGATTCAGAACTCTTCGATATTTTAACCGAATCATTCGATTGGATATTGTTCTCGAATCGAAGGGCGTTTTCCGAGCTATTCAGAACATTCCGAGTTAAACGTTCAATTTGGGTACGGATACGATATCGTTATGCAACAGCGTTTATGGAGTTAGGCGGTGAAATAGATTATAAACAAAGAAAATCTTTGTATATACATTTTTAAGACTAAAGGCCTAAAATATAGGAATGCGTTAGTCTTGCATTAAAATAAATTAATAAAATTATTTTACTTTATTTTAATTATTAAATTAACAAAATCCTAACGGTATTTCTTTTCATATTACATTCTTGCTTTGTAAACAATAGGACGTTCGGTAACTTTCGTTCAATAAACTGTGTTCTGAATAACGTTTGTAGCCTTTGCCTTTCGAGAAGTTCGAGTAATCGTACGGGTGTGACGTCATCTCGGTTCGGTTTCGAATACGACAGTTTGACGTTCGATTTGGGTGTTGTGGATAAAAATGAAAAGAAATCGGACGACAACTGAGTTATCGTAAGGTTCTGAATCGACCACCTGTACGGAATGAAAAATCGTTCCTATAAAAAAATCGTGATTACGTAAAAACTGGGCCACAAGTCTAATAGACTTGATTTTCGAGTTCTTAGGTTAGACTTGATTTTCTTAAAACCAGTGGTTCCACTGAAATTACATTGCAATTAAGATAATATTTGTAATTCTGCTAAAATCTAGTTGCAAAGGCAGTTGAGTATCAATAGAGTGTCAGTAGAATATCATGCCATCAGCATCCATTCGTTCAATGATTATTAGAATCGATGTTGTCTTACTAAAACTACCATGGAAATTACTATGTATACCTTAATTTTTATATCTTTTAATCAGCAATTTAGTCTTTAAATAAAATGTATTTAAAAAAAAAATAATTCGATGACGGATAACAGCTCTTAAATTGTAAGTATAAGCGAATAGAAAGAAACTTCATGTAATTAGTAGACTACGACGTGCCGTCGATTTGCCATTGAAGAGCAGAATACGACAAAATTGCAATGGCAGTTGAATGCTCGATGACTAGCCTAGATTTTAGAATAGGTACCAAACGAAAAAAATCCTGCCATTGACACTCTATCGACACGCAACTGATTAACGATTATATAGATGGTGACAGATCGCTAAAAAGCGGTTTGAATAAACAACCCATGACATTTTGTCAAGATTCCTCGTGGTCATTACTCCGAAATTTCATGGTCTATACATATTTTGTATTATTCCTATCTATGGTCCTAACATATGTTTTTTTTTATCTAGATCCTGTTCCCTCTTTATGGCGGCGAACGTCCGGAAATCAGTAGCCGAAGGTCGATCCGACGCCATTCCTATCTTCCTGCAGGACATTCCCAAGCTGTTCCACAGGAAGATCATCCGTCCTGATATTGCTGTCATCCAGGTGTGTAATTACTCTCATTATTCACCACAGCTTAGATGATACAGGTTTGACCACAGTATCACTTTTTAATACGTAGAGAAAAATGTGAATGTGAAAATAATCTTTAATGCATGACCACAAGAGTTTTAAAATCTTTAGTATCTCCTCACTGCTTTAAGAAATAATGGGCCTTACATGTGTGTGACATAGATAGCGACTTAGTACTTTCATTTGCTACACTCCTGACATTCTTTCATAAACACGTAAGATTTGTGGTAAAGAAAGTATTATGGTATCCCACAACACTTTTACAATGTTGACCCCTCGTAAATTTATTTACTACTTGCAAATAAGTGGTAAATATAGTTATTAAGTCTAAACGGGGTACCGAGCCGTTGTCGTTTGCGATGATTGCATTTACTGTTTCTCCAACAGGTATCTCCCCCAGATCACCACGGGTACTGCAGTCTTGGCACGTCTGTGGACTGCGTCAGAGCAGCGCTCGCCAATTCAAAGATCATTATTGGTAAGGTGATACTATATTTCAGCAGCAGTAGAGGTCCTTGTGAAAGAGTTCATACGGAGGGTAAGGGTGCGGGTGCAATTACTTGTTATCTTATGTCTCAGGGTGACGTGCGCAGTGGCAGTGCCCCTCCGATCTTTGCGATTTAAAGCTCTGAGTGGCACTGCAACTGCTATGGACATGCGTGTACTTACCATCTCTTGTTCGTCCCGTCACTTGATATTATATAAAAAAAAAATAGTTTTCTTCAGTGTTCTAACACTGAAAATTGAGGGACCTGGCCTCAACGTGCTTCATCAATCATCAGTGTTTTTGAATTTCAGTTCAATTGTCATACAGATTATTCAAGAAGATCACCAGTATCAAACTCTTTACTTTCCCATGGTCCCTTCATCTTCGGGCTACTGCCCGTACAACCGAGGTGATTCTTCATGCTCATTACCTCGGGGTTCTTTCCAGCATCCTATTAAAGCGTTTGCCGCTTATCGTTGTACAGTAATGTTGGTCCTTTGAGCCGGATTAATTGACGCAACAACCCCTTTTCTGGTTTTAGCGCAAGTCAACGAGAAAATGCCTCGCACGTTCGGCGACGCGATTATTCACATGTCGCACATCGACTACGCGGTTGAGGACAACACGCCCTTGCCGGAGCACGGTGTCGGCAAGGGCGCCAGTCCTGAGGAGACCAAGATCGGTCAGCTCATTGGAGAGAATCTTGTTGAGGACGGTGCTACTTTGCAAATGGGTGAGTTATAAACGGCATTGGCAATAACAATTGTTATCTCGAAGACTATTCAAGACAAATATTTACTTCAGTATTAGATAAGCGCAGCGTAATTATCTATTATCGTTCGTGCAAAACTGGTTTAATACGTGTACCGCTTGTTTGGTTAAGATCGCATCAAACTTGCCATTTTAACTTTGAGTCGTTCATGTCCTAAACGGTATAATACTCTGACCACGCACAGGCGGGAGCGTTCCGGGCGCGGGAATTTTTGTAATGTTTGAGTCCTTATGAGCATTGAGCGGCGGCGGGGCGGGCGCGGTCCGAGGTCGAACACTATGACAAGCAGGCGGAGCGGCTGCGGTCCGGGAGCGGGGCTTTAGCAGCCTTGGATGTCGTATTTTTTTGTGTGTTTTTATTCAGTTTTAACATGAATTCGACCGACTTTTCTTTTGCGTTGGTAGCGCTAATAAAAGCAGAAAATTTTCTTGATCTTTATCCGAAAGCGATGTGGTGCTTTCTTCAAAATCTGTGTCGAAAATGAAACGTGGCCGCTTCTGGTGTCACATTGACCGCCTTCTCTTCGCTATTCCGCCGTGAACTATGCTTTGGACACCTGTGTGGCACGCCCTGGTACGCATTCGCTTCCCGCAGGTTTGTGCCCTAACCGCTTTTCCCGCTGTACCGTCTCTGTGAGCTGATCATACACAGTCTAATTCGATACATAACTCACAAGGCAAGATATTAGACCTTATCCTAAACCAGTCCGGTGCAAAGTTACGGAAGCTCACCCGTTAGTCGTGTTGAAAAATTTCATCCACCACTTCACGTCGAAGGTATGTCACATAACAAAAAGTTTAATAGAAAATAATGAATTTATATACAGGTTCTACAAAACGGATGTTACAACTTGTAATTTCGAACTTGCTAAAGTTAAGTGAGAGACATACTTGATTTAGATTGCTACGATTTTTTGCAAGTGCAAAATATGCACCAAAAGCGATGTCTAGGATTTTCTATCCAGAACGGATCTCAAAATCTTTAGTTACACTTCGTGTAAAACAAAAGTATCACACAAAATATAAAAAAATTGGGTACTCTCGTGATTATGACACGTTCACTGTGTTGAGGGCTAGAGTGACGTTGGCATATGATCAGTGCTTTAAGGGTTACAAGAGTCGTATAGAGGAAAATCTCAAGACGGATGTAAGGACATTTGGAAATATGCGAAGTAAAAAAAAGCGACAAACGATTTATGTATATATATATATATATGTATATATACATAAATCGTGTATATATATATATATATATATATATATATATAATATATATGGTACTTGGTGCAACGGGCTGGTGTCCGCAACTTGACGTCAAGGCGCCTATTTTGCCTATATATGTTGTTGATGATGTAACATTTTTTCGTCAATCAACATTAAAGGATCTCTGGGATGTACTGGATGCTAAATCAAGTTTAACTTCACATTACGATTATGTAATTGCCACGATAAATAAAACAGTTGGATTTATTTTTAGAACGGTAAAGCCGGAAAGCGTTTTGTTACTTTAGTTTACTTTGATTAGGAGTGTATTGGAGTATTATTCGGTGGTGTGGTCCCCTTTCTACAATATAAACATTGATAGAATTGAAGCTGTCTAAAGACGTTTTCTCCGGCACTTAAGTTCCAAATTCGGTATGAGATATAAGGTTGCCCACATATGTGGATAGGTTGAAGCAATTTAGTCTCAGGACGCTGCAGTCACGGCGTGTCCTTAAGAGGGAGCAGAGGAAAAATTCCTAATCTTCGATTTGATTTTAGAGGGGTATATCCACTTTAAAGTTAAAAATAAAATATTGTATGAGTAACTACAGGATATATTCAAGCATAGACATTAATCAGAAACATAAAACAATAAAGTTTCCTCGATAGATAAAAATCAAGAAATAATCTCTAATTTTCACATTTTTTCGGTTTATCCTCGAAATGCTACAGGTTATTAGGACAAAAATTAGATAAGTAATTATATTTATGCATGATCGACAACTGTCACAAGGGATTTTTTTATTCCCCTTTAGTTTTAGAGTTCCCGCTAAAACGAATTTAGTACTTTTAATGCGCAAAATTCAACATCTCCTATCGCATGTCACGCGAACTTCAGGCATATATTTGTTTCACAAATTTGGGCGGAGCCAACGTCAAAACTTTTTTGGCATGCTCCCTCTTAATAATCTTCTCGCCATATATAAAATAGCTCATGCAAAATGAAACGCATGCGAATTTTTGAGCCACTTCTCTTTGAGGGTTGGAAGTAAACGTATACAAAGAATGTTTCAAGTGCCATGTTTTACTTATAACGTTACCTACAATGATCCTATATTCCGTATGTGTTGAGTCTATAATGAAATTCACAAGGACAGGTGTTTAGACATATATTTTCCAAGCTATCCAGCATTTTTTAAATCTTGCATTCTTAAGATAAAGCAGTAGAAATGTTTAGACCGTTACTTTCGTTACGTTCATTTGAATTGGTTACTTATGTTATAATTTATTAATTGTAGTTTCTTCCGGTCATAATGTGACTGTATTGTATTTGTTAAATTAATTTTTGCGCTGTGTCCAATAATATGATAAAGCTGTGCGTAGCTGTTAGTGGAATGCAAATTTATTTTCTATTTAATTTAGCAATATAAATTAGTATTCTGTAGTTGTGCCAATAAATAAATATTTTTGTCGAGTGACAGTTAGTTAGCTATTAGTGTGAAATCTGTAGTAAAAGTTGTTACCATTAATGGGAGGAAAAATCCCCTTTCGGGTACAATATACACAGTTAGTTAGCTATTAGTGTGAAATCTGTAGTAAAAGTTGTTACCATTAATGGGAGGAAAAATCCCCTTTCGGGTACAATATATTTAACACAGTTTAAGGAATGGTCATTCTCGGAATAGTGTTCACCTAATATCCGTGCCAATTTTTATTATTTAATAATTCGATTTTTTATCGTGCAATATTATTTCGTAGCCGAGTATTGTATCGTGAAATATTATTTAATAATTACACGATAATATATTTGAATGTTTAAATAATAAAAATTGCCTAGGAAAATAGGTCTACTAGTCCGAGAATGACCGAGAAAAGTTAGTGCAGTACAAAGCTTTTAATAATATTGGTTATGTTATTATCGCTACGCAGGCATCGGTAGCATCCCCGACGCAGTGCTATCAGAGCTAAAGAACCACAAAGACCTCGGCATCCACTCGGAGATGTTCAGCGTAGGTGTCATTGACCTGGTGCAACGCGGTTGCGTCACTAATAACAAGTGAGTGGGCTGTCTATAGTCCATTTGTTTAGGTACTTCACTAAATGTAAAAAATCTTGAGACGTCTATGTAATGAAATAAACATTTATAAAATGATTACTTACGTTCAAATACAAAATACGCATATTTAGCTTCATATGAAATTGTAAAGTATATGTTTTGATGTATCAAGATTGTTCACATTTAGTTAAATACCTAAACAAATGGACTATAATTATAACCATAAATGTTTGTTATAAATGAAAAATGGGGCCAAGTTCGGCATAAAGAGTAAAGAAATTTATTTACTTCCCCATACGAAATATCAGCATCGTCACAGACTGTACGCACATACCGATAATCACTCTTACCTCTCAAACCTGGAAAGCAATAATACCATTTCTTTTTATAATATCAAGTAACGGGACGAACGAGTCGTGCGCCTGATGGCAAGCTACACACCGGTCTATAACAGTGCCACTCAGAGCTTTAAATCCACGCCACTGCGCCCGTCACCCTGAGACATATTTGACAAGTCCCATGTGCCTGTAATTTCATCAGCACCTTTACCCGTCAAAACGTAACGCAGTAACGCTGACATCAATGCTTGACGGCAGAATTAGGTACTTCCCAGGACGAACTCTTTCACAACGAGCTCTACTGCTGCTTAAACTGGTTCTGATCTGGGTGTGGGTTACTGGGAATTCCCTAGTTAGCGATCTCGATAACATTACTATTAACTTTTCCAGGAAGAAAATGCACAAGGGCCGCATCGTGGGCAGTTTCCTTGTGGGCAATAAGAAACTCTACGACTTCGTCGATAACAACCCTTTCATTGGTGAGATACACTAAAATATATACTAAATTAAAAAGAAAATGGAGTAGATCCATGTCACACGCGCACAAAAATTATTTCGTCTGTGAAATGGCAACCGGAACTATCTCAATTTTGACAACTTTACAGGGATGAAGAAAAAACATGTTTGCGTCATTTATCTGGTTTATTAAATAAAAATACGTAGTTTCTAAATATTTTTATTCCACGTTATTAAAGACAATGGAATTTCTTGCAACGCTGCAGAGTATGGAATAGTATAAAATGGTATTAAAAAGTGAAATCTTTAGAAAATTTATATAGTACCAGTTGTCAGTTCACAGTCGATTTACCATTTAATTTGTAGCGACCAACTGTCACACTTGAGTTCGCAGCAGATATTAGTAACATAGAAACTCCTTGTTTTACGTTTTATCTTTTTGAAATTGGATTTTTTTTTCAGTGAAAATAAAGCATGTAATACTGTGAACTAGTCAATAGTTTTTAAATTTTATTTTAATCTAGTATTTTTTTAATAGTACAATATTTAAAATGTACATATCAGGGATGCCGTTGCAATCTGCAGATGCGTGATTTTTTTTGTCAGTATAAATGTGGGTCATTCTAGGATTAGTGATAAATCAATTATCGTTAATTTGAGTAAAAACCAATATTTTACATAATTTTATTACAAAAGAGACTAAAGACAGAAGATATAAAAATATTAAGATATTTATTAATATTTTGTTGTAGGCCGTTCTTTACACGAATAGAGCTGGGCTGTCTTGAATGAAAAAGTTCATAAATCAATGTAAAGACAATAATTTTTGTTTAGAAAACAATCAGATCGGTCCCTGCACTATACGCTGCTGAATTTCCGATCTTTGATTGGCTAATTAGCACTAGCACAGGACACGCGCTTTGGGTAGGGTGTCATCTCGACGGCCTTGTAAAAACCAAACATCTGTATCCGCAAAAACTCTACATCGATTGATGTGGAAGGAGATACTTAAAAATATGCGGATTATCCACGGTTGCGGCATCCCTGACACATATGTACAAGGAAAAAAAAGTGTAAACCGTAATTGAGCGAAAATGAGTTATAAAATATATCATTGGTTTAGATTTTGTTTCTGTATCAATCTGTCCATCGAGGATATAACCAGAAATAGACGAAATAAAGGCCATCCATATCTAGCAACTCATCAGGCAAATGGGCTTTATATCACTTTTAAAAATCAACTCTCGTTTGCGCTGAAATCACGAATTAGGAAGCTGAAATAGTACAGCGCCAACAACTGACCTGTGTGTACGTCTCCGTATATTCCAAAAATATTCTGTATTTATTGCATCGAGTATATAACCAGAAATAGAGACGTAATGTCATTTAATTTGTTTGAAAACTATTCTGCCATATCATTGCTGTGACAACTGCGCTCTGATTGGCTAGCCCGAATTCGTGTCGTCAATAGGTGTCTGCAACTGTTTCACATCAAATCGACCAGTTAACTTTGGCTCTGCTATATTGGACAAAAATTGCAAAATTACATGTTTAATATTTAATTACCGATGAAATGTCATTCCGTTTGTTTTGTAACTAGATGTTTTGCTGTTTTTCCCCACCACCAAATGGAGCAGCACGGCATTGTTAGAGATATTATCTTTATTACAATAAATACAGAATATTTTTTGGAATATACGGAGACTTACACACAGGTCACTAGTTGGCCTGTCTATATTTCAGTGCAAACTCTCGTTGATATTTATAAGAGCTATATCGCTAATGCGTTACCAGGAATATATGGCCCTTATTTCGTCTCTATTTCTGGTTATATACTCGATGATTTATTGTAATAAAGATAATATCTCTAACAATGGGGGACTGTTCCATTCGGTGCTGTAGGAAAAACAGCAAAACATCTAATTAAAAAATAGACGGAATAACATTTCATCGGTAATTAAATATGTAATTTTTAAATTTTCGTCCATTACAGCAAAGCTCAATTTAAACTGGTCGATTTGAAGTGAAACATTTGAAGAGACCCGTCAATTATTTCGAATTCGGGCTGGCCAATCGGAGCGCAGTTGCCGTAATGATTTGGCAGACGACTTTTCAAACAAATTAAATGACATTTCGTCTCTATTTCTGGTTATATACTCGATGCCTGCCACACTGAAACGCGCGGCCGCTGCGCGCTTCATTTCAGTTATTGTCACCTAAAAAATGTCAAATACGCTTATTTTGCTTAACAATAAAACTGAAACTAATTAAGATAATAAATAACCGCGTAGAGGGGGCTGTAGATCTCGTTTCGCTGACTTCAGATATGTTAATAACTTGGTTAGTTATGATAAGTAGGTGTTGTTAATACTACTTATAAATTATTTTTTATAAAAATTATTTCAAATAACATTTTATATTCTTACACGGCGTCGAAATTCTGTCACACGATAAAGGTGGTAATAATAACGGCTAATGTATTGCAGAAATGCTGGAAATCGACTACGTAAACAATACGCACATCGTGTCTCTGCAGCCGACCATGACGGCGATCAACTCTTGCATCGAGGTCGACCTCACAGGGCAAGTCTGCGCCGACTCTATTGGTAAGACATAAGGACTCTATTGATTACAATTAATGTGCGACAGCTCTTCAGAAAATATTCTTTTTTTTTTCAACATTCAGTCAATATGTTGACTGTCATAATTATGTCAATATATCGACATACATCTATCAATATGTCGAAGTCCCTTTGTCACTATATCGACATCTTTGTATCTGTTACTATGTCGATATCTATCTGTCAATATGTCGACGTCTATCTGTCAATATGTCGACATCTATCTGTCAATATGTTGACATCTATCTGTCAATATGTCGAGGTCCATTTGTCACTATATCGACATCTTTGTATCTGTCAGTATGCCGACATCTATCTGTCAATGTGTCGACGTTTATCTGTCAATATGTCGAAATCCATTTGTCACTATATCGACGTCCATGTATCTGTCACTGTGTCGACATCTTTCTGTCAATATGACGACGTCTATCTGTCAATATGTCAATGTCTATCTCTTAATATATCAACATCCATCTTTCACGGAGTGTTATATGCAATATACTTTATTAATTTGTTATAATACGTGTATATACCTAATTTGTTACATGAAGGAATAGACGTAAGACCTAACTGCCGATAGTACAGGGGATGCTGATTTAGGAGTTTGGGACAACATTAAATCTGTTTTTTTTAACATTTTTATTTTATTATTTTTGTTTATTTGGTTAAAAGGAACGTGAATATGCCTGCAGGAACACGCATGTACTCCGGCTTCGGCGGGCAGGTGGATTTCATCCGCGGCGCGGCCGAGTCGGTGGACGGGCGCGGAAAGCCCATCATCGCCCTGGTCTCCACCACTAAGCGCAACGAGACCAAGATTGTGCCCACGCTGAAAGTCGGTCAGTATCAACCTCACTATGTTTGTGGTGAACCGGTTTATTATCACTAGATTTAGGTATGACTTTTACTTTACAACGGCATGACTTTTGTATTATCATGGCATGAGTTTTACTTAATCACGCCATGACTTACGTTACAATGGTATGAATTTTACTTCAGCCCGGTATAAAGTCATACCATAGCTTGATCATCATAGAACGAAAACTTCAATTTTTTAAACTTTACTCGACTTTCCCAGAGACGACAATGAAGTAATAATATATGTGTAAAAACACTGTTGTATGAAGTTTAATATAAATAGTCGCTTGTCCATAAATCCATAACTCAAAACAGTCGTTAAGTATTTTGCATTAAGAGTTGATGCAACTTTTTTGGTTTTGGTTGATTCCGTGTCACGGGGAAAGACTGAAGAACTGAATCAATCACGGTGGAAAAAATATATAGTAAAATTGAGGATGTACACTGATGAGTACACAGTGTGAAAACACGATTCCGTAACTGCCTCCGTGGCCGAACGGTTACCAACCGTTATATATATATATAACGGTGGATATATAATCCAACAGGAGCGGGCGTGGTGACGTCCCGCGCGCACGTGCACTACGTGGTGACGGAGCAGGGCATCGCGGACCTGTTCGGCAAGACGCTGCGCCAGCGCGCGTACGAGCTCATCCGGGTGGCCCACCCCGACCACCGCGAGGCGCTCGAGAAGGCCGCCTTCGAAAGGCTCAAGTGCATGCCCGCGCCCTAAACCCCTCACCACACGGCGCGGGGCCTCGCTTCATGACGTCACGGTTACTTGTCGTGCAAATTCAAATTACATTAGCGAGAAAAATAATAAGCATTGAATCGAAAATATATTATAGACAGAAACCTGGCGAATAAGGCAAACCCGAAGCAAGTCAAGTGCCTTATTTGATTTTTAATTCAGAACTTAATCACGTAAAGTTTTATAAGTGATTACTCACGTATAAACCATATTTTATTTACCTCGACGTTTCAGACGTATTGCAATGTTCGTGGTCTATTAATCACGTATGAAATATGTTTTATACGTGATTAACCACTCATAAAACTTCGGGCCTTAAGCCCCGAATTAAAAATCAAATAATGTGTGAGAATCGTGAAAGTTTAAACCACAGTCTAGTGCCACTCATCATCAGAGCGATAAAAACAAAACTACAATCGATATAGTATAGTCACTAGAAGTCTGTATTGTATTGATGTATCTGGCAACATTCGCACAGAATAAACTCCCAAGAAGTCGCAGAATACGGCCTCTGGGTTGCCATTCTCCAAATTTACTACTGTTTTAGTAGATTTTGTAGTTTTTCTAGTATTATAGATAAATTGTATAAAAATCAATCAAGGGTTATAAACCAACCGCTCTGAACGAGCTCATTCTTCGGCCTAGCGTCGAGCAATCAACGACCCCTGAGAATGCCTCGTGGTGAGGCGAAACACGTGTCGGGTATATTTTTGGTGGTGGTTTGTGACTGTAGTTGCGCTTGTGTTATTTATTTTAATAATTTTATACGGAGGGAGGGTGGGGAAATTAACTGCATGAAAAATATTCAGCACAAGCGCAGCTATTTTGCACGGTTTAAGCTTCACTGGGTACGCGGTGTTGCATTTTTATGTATAAAAGTCGACTGCCAGCAATTGTTTTTGCTATAGCTATAGGATAGCTATGTCGTTTTTTGTTTCACTTAGGAATTAAAACTAAAATATGCATTTGAATAATTGGTAATGAAAATCTAGAACGATAGAAAGCTCCATTTAGTGCGTAGGAATTGGAGCTGCATTCCTCCTTATCTGCAACTGCAGCGTCGACAAGTTGCTCATTGTGACTACATCCTTAGTGACATCTAGATCCTAGTCTATATAAAATGCCTTAAACACGTCAATATTACGCTATGTTGTTTATTGTATAAGCTTAAATGCATTTTTCAGGTAATATATATATATGTACATTTTCATTTTTTATACATATTTCAGGTTCGTGTAAAATCGAAAAATAATTGTGTTACTTTTGTTTCAGCGAATTTATGTAGATTATTTATATAGATTTGTATATTGTATAAACTAAATTGTTTTATTTCGGCATTGTTTAAGTGACTTTGCAAAATATTGTTGTGTTTTTATGTAATTAATCAGTTAATTAAATGAGTTAATCACCGAGTAATTAAATGAGTTAATCACCAGTTTGTTTTTATTTGAGAGACGCAAAGTTGTGTTTCAGCTACCTACAGGATATAGATATCTATATGATATTGCTATTTTGATTAAGGCGCTGCGCAAACGTGTCTTGTGTTGATTTTGTATGAAAATAGAACATTCGCTTACAGTTGCCGGTTGCTTGTATTCAACACAAGACACGTTTGCGCGGAGCCTAAGCGGCACAGAAGGTTCGTGGTGACCATGACCGAATTTTTGGAATGGGATAATCGGGTAAAAAGTCGCCATTTCGTCATCATCGTCATATCAGCCGAAAGACGTCCACTGCTGAACATAGGCCTCGCCCAAAGAACGCCACACGGTCGGTCTTCTGCTGCTAGCATCCTGCGGACTCCTGCAAACTTCAAGTCATCGGTTCACCATGTGGGTGGTCTGCCCACGCTGCGTTTTTCTTTCTCGAGAAATTCTTTGGCACCATCGGCTATCTGTTCAGCGAGTAAAAAACATGATTTACTCGGTCCGCCGTTCAAAAGCTACAAAGGCGTTTTAAAGTCCACATCCTCAAACTCGAGAACCACAGCGTCTAGTTTAGATCTGATTGCACAGCAAAAAGTCGTGATTTAGTAAAAAACTAGATTTAGTCGTCATGCCGTTTCAAAGTTATAACGATGTTTTACTGAAATAAGCTTATTCCAGCAGTATTTTTTTTTAATCTCAATCAAATCTAAGCTGGGAGCTATGGTCCTCGCCATAGCTCCCAGCTTACATTTAATTGCACCCAGAAAAAGTAGTGAATTAATCGACTTTAGTCGCAAAGAAAAACATTAAAACCAATAAATGCCTCTTTCTGGCTAACCATAATATTAAGCCCGCTATGTGTTACAGAAATCTCTTTTTGCATAGTCCAGGGCATACAAAACTTGATAATTTGAACTTTAAGTTGTTACTATTGCTTAAGTCACATAGTTTAAGTCTTAAGTGTCAAGCTTGACAAACTCTTGGCCTTGAGAATTCTCCTAATTCCGAAGTGTGAAATTCCTAAGGAAGTACAGATGATAGCAAATCAAGCTACC